TGGACAGTGGCGGCGGCGGCCGAGGCCGGGGAGGCGGAGGTCGCTCGGTCCCCTCCTGCGCCTCGGAGCACGAGTTGCGCGTGGTCTCTCCCGTCTTCCTGCAGCTGCCCAGCTACGAGGAGGTCAAGTACCTGCCCACCTACGAGGAGTCCATGCGACTGCAGCAGCTCAGCCCCGGGGAGGTCGTGCTGCCCGTGTCGGTGCTCGGCCGCCCCCGAGGCGGCGGCGCCGGGGACGCCGACGGCGGCGAGGGCCGCTTCCCGCTCATCTGAGCGCTCGGGGACCACAGGGACGGTGCGGGGCCGGGGGCTAGGGGCTGCGCGCAATGTCCAGGGTGCCCGAGGCTGCAACTGACTGCCTCAGATCCCTCTTGGCACCCCAGCCTAACCGCCGGTCGCCCCGCGACTGGGTTGGGGTCACCCCCCACCCGACGTTTCGTTGGGTTCAAGGAAACGCTGGGCGCGCGCGGCGGGGGTGGCAGCAGCGGACGAGCCCCGAGCGCAACTTCGAAGGACGTCCTCGCCCTCTGCCTCGCCTCGTCTTGTGTTCACTCGTAAGTGCCTGCTTCCCAAGTCAGACAGAACACGTGAGCCTTTTGGTGCATCGGGAGAAGGGCGATTTTCTTTAGGGCTGAGGCGAAAAGAGCGCAGCTCCACAACTTTCCTTCCTGCCTGGACAGGTCACGGTCTCCCAGGAAGGGCGAGGAGCCGTTGAGGACCAGCAGCGACCGATGACTGTTGTGTGTGGGTCTGGGACAGCAGCACTTGGGTATAGTGGAATCCCTCCCTTGCGGAGGGCCCAAAAAACCCTTTGCTATCGTCCTGGAAAAGCAAATAGCCACAGCTGATGGCTCACAATTAGGTTGGGGGGGGGGGGTACCTGTGATTTCTGGTCAGTTGCTGTCGGGTACAGCAACAACGTATATCCAAGATTCCACTCATAATAAGATACAGCTGGACTTTTGATTTCAACACCTGAGAAGGTATTTATATTTATTTGTCTTTTATTTTTTTATTTTTACCATTTATTGAATGCAACAGGAGGGTATTGCAGCAAATTAATGACAAAATAATCGTCTCACCTTTTTTTTTTTTTTTTTTTTTTAGGCCATAATGGCTAGGAAATTGCCCATACTGTCATTATTGTTTAATAAAATGTTGGACACTGGTTCATTAAAAATAAAAAATAAAAAAAGAGGCATGGTCACCCGAGGAAACATGTGACATAAAAAAAATATGAAAACATGAAGGATATTTTCACTATTTGAAATGAATATATTTTATTTTTAGTACTGTGACATAATATATAACTTTTTATAATAACTATACATTATGTAGTGTAGGTCTTAATTGTATCATTCATCACAGTTATATGTAAAAACAATTGATACATATATTCCATACCATGAAGCATGATGTCATGCACTTTCTCCATTTTTCATTTGGAATACATTCCACAACATGGTATAAAACATAAGAACTTGTAAATTGTAACTTTTGATTAAAGCCATAATTGTGCTGTAATGTGCTACAGAAGGATTCAGTCACCCTATGTTAAGAAAAAATCAAGTGTCATTGTATCAGTTCCACCATTCTGTGAAATGTCCTTAGGGCAAAAGGTAATGTATTTTAATGCATTGTGTATAATGTATATAAGCATATTGTCTATGTACAGTATACACATTGTATGCCATATAGTGATTACAGTTTATCATGAAGTGAAAAGAAAGAAAACAAATACAAAAGGTTTCTGTGCTTGGAGAAGGATGAATATTACATCAAGAAAGATCACACACATGGATCTCACATGTGTCTAGAACATTGTTCTTATGATTGAAGAAGTCTGGCAATCCTGTGAAATCTTAAAATATCTGACTTGTATTAGAAGAAGAAAATGATTTGATTACTTTAAACTTTTAAAGGCTGACTGAAAAAGTCTGACAGTTCTGAGAAATTTTTAAATGTCTGACTTGTAATTAAAGAATGGTTTGCTTTAAGATTCTAAAAGCTAATGACTGTCATTAAAGAAAAATCATTTGAATATTAAGACAAAAACATTAAAATCTTTCTCTGCAAATTTTATCAGATGTGTGATTATATAGTAATGTATTAATATATGAAATTTGTCTTTGTCATTGCTATTTGTCAAAATAACAATTTTAAGCTGTGAATTGAAAAAAGCACCAGGAATTGCGACTGTATCAATTGAAAATGGTACAAAATTTAACAAAATCACATTATACTGAGTAGTCATATATTCATGTTTCTCTAATACTCTAAATTTTTGTCACATGTAGCTATCAGCACTACTAACCATTTGAACAAACTGGAAAGTTACCATATTATTTTAAATGATTTATTCTTTGAGGGTACACTGTGTTAGACATTTCTTAAAGTTCACCTGTAGCTGAAACATCAACCCAAATACCCAAGTACCAGTGTATGAAGCATAGCCTACATGTTGTTACTAACTTCTGAATGAAATTTACAACAAAATCCTATGAAAAATACACTTATAATGTGGATCAAGAATGTTTCCATTGTATCAACTATGGGACATTTCTCTCCCTAAAATCCAGAATGTCTATAACGTGGTAATTTCACTTGATACCAATCATGCAATGAGGTGCTCCTGAATTTTAAAATTACAAGTTTTCCCTTTTTTTCCCCTTTCTCAACCACAAGAATTTATTCACATCCCTCAGTTCAAGAGAAATGTTTGACTTTTTCTTCTTGCAATTCATTGGTTTTCCAAGCACAGTTTTGTTCAGGCATAATTTTGTGGAAGAAATCCTTAAAACAATATTTTTATCAGTGATAAATGAGCATTTCTCACGGTAATACATACATATACATGACCGACCATGTTAACATACACAGAATCTATGTGTTCATAAGGCTGAAATACCCAGATAGGAACATTTTTAAAGCACTAAGGGCAGTAGCAGGGTGTTTAGTTTTACAGGTTTCACCTGGAAGTTATTATATAGACAAAACCTATTAAATATAATTGCATGTGTTTATTAACATAAGAAATAGTTATTCTATCACCTGGAAAGAATTCAAGATGAGATGCTGATTTTACTTATATTTTAACATTCTTCTATAAATAGTTGGAGAATATTGTGTTCTCCAAGCATATATAGAAGAATATTAATTTATGGCTTGTAATATTACTGGAATTATATGGAATATTAATTTAATTTTATGGCATATATATCTCAACCAAGCCCACCTGAGAGTGCCATGTTCTTCAGTACTAACAGCCTTTGCTCCTGGTTTTCAGCTATCAAAGTAATTCAAATACTAAAACATTTCAAGCTCACTTTATTTTCACTGACTTCTCATGAGTAGGGAAATAATGGTTCTATATATGGTAATCTATCTGGAATGTGAGAAAACATGATTGATTTTATAAATTTATGTACTAGATATATAAATATGTATATCTATACATAAATATATGTGTGTATGTATGTGTGTGTATATACATAACAACAAGCATTAACTATCTTTCACCAGTTGCTTAAAAGCAATTTGTTATGGGTGTTCAATATCATAACCAAGGGGCAAATGTATTCTTGAGAAAGAATGATAGTTTTAAGAGGCCATTAATTGCCACATTCTGCAAATGTGAGTGTGCTTCAGCCATGGAAAATGGCATTGACAATTATGCCAAAGGGCATGAGGTGTACTGTGTAAAAAACAGAAGATTCAATTGTAAAGGCCAAAGGGAATATTAAGGAAATGGTCTCACTTAACAGTTTAAATGGCAATATGCTAAGTACCCTAATGTTGTACTTTATGTATACAGTTTCTCTCAAGTGGAATTAATAAAGGAAACAATTCAGAGCTGAAACTGATATGTTATAAACATGAATTTGATGTTCAGATTTGTACAATATTCTGCATTGAATTCTGTAAAAATTTCATGAATTGTTAGTTATTTAGATTTCCATGTTGAGAGAAAACGATGTATGTTGAGTTTTATTTTGAGCAACAAGCATTAACTATCTTTCCAAAAGTGTAAGTTTCATAAACCAATGAATAATATATTATTTGGCAAGTTTATCTCTTACCTCACTAGTTTACAATTTATTTTCTTATTGTCCTTTTATTCATTGATGAAAAAGCTAATAACTGGTAGACTAAGGGAAGGTATTTATCAGCCAAAAAATGAATCGGCAACCAGCTAATTGCAAAATATTTAGCCATCTTTTTTTTTCCCATATGGTTAATACCAGAAGTTATAGGATTCCTTTTTAAAAAAAATTTTGTCTATAAAAAGAATCAAATGTCAAGTAAAACTAATACTTTGGATATATTTAAGTACATATAGAACCTTGTTTGTTTTATTTACAACTCATTTTTAATTTTATGGTGAAAATTATACTATAAAGGGATACTTATGCTTGTCACCAAACTCAACAGGATCACCTTTTTGCCCTTCAACTTCTGAGCTAAATATCTTCATTGTCTTGATATCTTGCAGTTCTTATTTTTTTGTGTGTGTGGTTCTTATCCTGCTTTGGTTTTCAGTAGATGTTTCCTCAGAAACCCATCTCTTAGAACTCCATGTTACTCTTTGCTGTGATTTAACATCACTCTGGTTAGGGCTTCATCCTTTGCAAAGAGTGTTGCCTTTTGGTAAAATAGTGTTTTCCAAAGTGTTTCCTTTGTTTTCTATTTCTATCTGACATGTGTAGGTTTTCCATTTTGAGCCAGGTGGTTTCTCCTCTTTATCTACTAAAGGACTATAAACATTTTTCTCCTTGTTCTTATATATAAAACTTTTCTCTGTCACACTGGATGAATGATCAGGTCTTTGCATTTCTCTAACAAGCATTTTAATTTTTCTAGATCTCAAACACAACAAATCCTGATTTTAGTACTACCTCTTTATCTTTCTGCTTCCTCACTTGGATTTTTCTGGAGGGACTGTCAGTGTTTTTCTTCCTCATTTTCCCCAAAGATGTGTTCTCTGCTATATTTGGGCAAAGAATGAGACCCTTGCATCTTAGTAATGACAGGGACTTTATTTTGGCTTCCGAATCTCAAGCAGATTATTTCTTCATAGCTATGTTTGTTGGATTTTTTCTACAAGCATCTTTCTCATTCCTCTGATGTGTCATTTTATCTAGATGATCGATTGTTTTCTCCCCATCCTTGCTCACAGACATTCTATGTGTTGTACTAAATAAGAGGTCATATCCTTCTGTCTTTGTAGGAAAGAACTTGAGCCTCTAGACCTTAAAGGTAACTTGATTTACAAT